CTCCCTCTCTCTCTCTTTCTCTCTCTCTCTCATGTGTGTGTGTGTGTGTAACTAACTAATACACATACACACTTTCTATTCTCTTTCTTTTTTTTTTCTTTTGTCCCTCCACAGCCACCATCACCATCTAACACACTGTATGCTTTAAGAACTTAATTTATTCATCCTCTGACTCCCATACCAAGATGTAAGCTGTGTGGGGTTGGTTTGTTCGTTGTTCACAGGCCTTAGAATGGGGCCTACACATAGTGAAGTACTCAGTGCTTGTGAATGAATGAGTGTGAACTCAGGCTCAGAGAGAGCAAATATCTTGTCCCCATCACACAGCCAGTAAGAGCAGAGCCAGATCCCTCACAAAAAGGCCTGTCTGCAGGAGCCCTTTCTTCTCCCCAGGGCCCTCCCAGCTTGCCAGGGCGCTAGGTAGGTTCCTAGCACACATTCCTTTCTCTCCTCTTGATCCTAGTTTGACCAGAAAGAGCAGAGGAGCTTCCTGGGGGCTCGGAAGGATTACTGGGATTTCCTCTTCACTGCCCTGCGACGACAGCGGGGATGCATGGAGCAGATCAGCTTCGTATGCTCACAGAGCAAGGTAAGGGGGCAGGAGATGAGGAAGGGATGGGCTTTGGAAGCACAAGGAAGCTCTGGTACCAGCAGTGGACAAAGAATGGCTAGGGGTGGGCATACAGCCCTTCCCTAGGTCCCGTGTCACCCATACCTGCTCTGCTAACAGAAGGCTTCTCACCTGCTCCTCTCCTCTCGTTGGACCTGGCCACACCTCCAGCCACACGTTTATCCTCTAACCTTGGCCCGCTCTTTCTCCTTCACTCTTGCTCCCATCCGTGCGCTCTCTGATTTTGCCCAGCTCCCCATCCTGATTTTGCCCTCTCTTTGGTCCTCCACACTCCCTGCAGCTGAAGACCTCTCTGGGAAAGGGTCGCGCCTTTATCCGGCTCTGCCTTGCCTGTGGACAGCTGGCCGAGTCAGTGCAGTTGTGCCTCCTGAGCCCAGATCTCACTAGGTAGGACTGCCAGGCCATCAACCCATAAATGACAATCGAGCCCACTACCCTCCTTCACTCCTAAATGAATGATTGACAGTTAGAGATAAGGGAATGAGTGTCAGAAAGGAGAAAGGGCTTAGTGGGTCTTCAGTTTGGCTTGGGCTTCTGCCCTCCAAGGCTGAGCTCAACCACACCTGCCCAGGTAGGACCCCTGTGGTGCACCAATTCTCAGAGGTCAAGAGTGGCAAGGGCCAAATGTGCTGGTCCCTCTTCACACAGGGAATGGTATGGTCCCCGGAGCCCTCTGCTGTGCCCTGAGCTCCAGAAAGAAATCTTGGACTCTCTCTATGCCCTCAACGGAATTGCCTTCAATCTGGACCTGCAGCGACCAGACCTGGATGAAGATTGGCCCATGTTCTCAGAGTAAGTGGGCTCTCGGCCTCCAAAGCAAGCTGTTCTCTCCTCCCCTTAAATTTTTTGAGATTATAATTATATTGTTTTCCCCTTCCCTTTTCTCCCTCCAAACCCTCCCATATACTCTTCCTTACCCTCCTTCAAACACATAGGCTCCTTTTTCATTAATTGTTGTGAGATACACGCATGCACGTGTGCGCGCACACACACACAAGTTCAGCCCACTCGGTCTGTATAATGTTATTTGTATGTGTGTTTTCGGGGCTAACAATTTGTTATTGTATAACCAGTTGGTGGGAAAACTGTTTCTCCTGCTCTCAGCATTCCTTGGTTGCCTGTAACTCTTTGTAGGATTGAGTTCCCATGAATGTGTCCTCGCTTATGTTAGCATGCCTATCGCTATTGTCCTTTTCCGGCTCATGTTCAGGCAGTCATGTTGGTGAGATTTTACAGGTGTAGATCCTGACATTCCTGGGAGAAACAGCCTCGCAGCCAACTCCTTGGCCCTCTGACTCACCTTCCAACCCCCTCCTCAGCAATGATCCTTGAGCCTTGCATGTGGCTGTACTGTATCGGCTGGGACTAGGCTCCACAACCTTCATCTTGACTGGTTGTTGTTTTCTGTAATGCTTTCCATCTGTTGCAAAGAGAAGTTTCCTCAATGAGGGGCGAGGACTACACTGTGGGTATAAAGACAAATATTTAGAACATAGCTAGGGATTATACTGGTTTAGTAAGTGACAGTTGTAGGTTCTTTCCAAGATCTATGACCTCGCTACCCCTGGGTGGTGGGTGAGGTTTCTAGTACCAGGCATGATTCCCTCCTGTTGAGAATGTCTTAATTCCGATTAAAGAGCAGTTAGTTACGACCAAGGTATGTGTAGCACTACTACACCCTTAGGGTGCCATGACATGTTGGTTAATATGGCTCATAGGTCCATATCTGGGTAAAAATTTTGGTTATTTCCCCCACTTTGGAAGCCTGCTTCCCTTCCCTTCTTGGTTCTTGTCCCCACTCTCTAGCCTTCTCCCTTCTCAGTGTCATCTCAAGCTAGGCCATGCTTCTAAAGACTAATTGGCCGGCTGGAAAAGTCAGGAGGGCGGATGGGTGATGGGGATGCTGGGATGCAACAGATATGGAGATGCTGGCCGGCTAGATGGGGAAAGGGAACCACTCATGGGATGCTGGAAAACAGGAAGGGTCGTAGTCTGAAGGAGTGGCTCCAAAGCTGGGGTAGCCTCCACTAGAGGACCAAGCCAACTAAAGAGGTTGTTCTGCCTCTTGGTTTCAGGTCCCGCCGCTCCAATCCCAGCCGGACCCAGGAAAGAAGACCCAGAAAGCCCGAAGGTTTCCCAAAGGAGGTGCCTCTGCCTGCCTTCACCCTGACTTGCTTCTTGATTGCCTATCTACTGGAACTCCCAAGTTGAGCAGGGCCTCCTGTGGGTGCGCAGAGAGCTGAACAGAGCAGAGGTGGAAGCAGTGTGTGAAGCAAGGGAGAGGGAATAAGGAGAACAAGGGAGCTCTGGTGCCGTCTGTAGGAGTCACTGGGGCTCTCGGGAGGAGAGGGCAATAGGGGTGGCTGGAGGCTTGCCGGAAACAGACCAGGGAGCCCTCTTCTACTGAAACCCCTGAGTTGAGAGTCCAAATTGGCCTGTGTCAGTTAGCAGAGTGACTACGGAGCCTGATTTCCCAATTCACAGCCCAGCTCTGCCCCTTTCTAAACTCAGCTGAAGGTCCTTGGGTGAGTTCCTGCCTCCTAGGGGAGTTGTATAGATGACTCCAGACAGCCCACATGCAGCTCAGCATGAGGCTCCTGGCTCCTGCTCTATTCTCAAGTGGCAGCTAAAGGTTGTCATCGTTGCACGACTTCCAGACACCAGATGTGGCACCATTAAGGACCCAGTCTCAGACCTCGAAAGAGTTCAAGGACTGTTCATGTAGACAGACCAGGAACACAGTGCAATTTATGCTAAGTGTGCTGTCGGCCTTCCATATCCGTGGGTTCTGCATCCGTGTACTCAACCAACCGCACATACAAAATATTTAGAAAAAAATAATTGTATTGGATCTGAACATTGTGGATTCTTTTACCCTCAGAGTTCCCCCACAAAAGGCAGTATAATAACTACTTACATGGCATTGACACTGTGTGGGGTAGTAAAGTCATCTAAAAAGGACTCCAGCTTATCGGAGGATGTGCATTGGTTATCGGCAAACCCTAACCATGTTAAAGAAGAGTCTCGAGTGTCCAGGAATTTGAATACTATCTTGAGGTCCTGGAGCCAACTCCCCTAGTATCAAGGGATGACTGTAGGGTGCAGATATGGTCAAGGGGAAAAATGGAAGCAGAGAGAAGGCTCCTCTGCACCCTGCTATGCTAAAGATTGAATCCAAGGCCACACATACTAGACAAGTGCTCTACCACTGAACTACATCCCCACCGAGGGGGCTTCTTCAGAGTAGTCTGTTTAAATTTTTCTTGCCATTTTGTAAACTAGAAATTCTTTTTCCCCTCTTAGAGATGAGAATGCAAAAACACAAAATCAAGCACAGCAGAAAAAGTGGAAGGAGAAGGTGGAGGAATTCAGGGCAAAGGAGGGAAATGCCACTGGCTAGAGGCAGGGAGGGGAGGAGCTGAGACACCTGCTATTCTCCCCTAGGATTTGTGGGTCTTGTGGGAGTGCTGTTGAGATTCTCTGGCTCTGGTGAATTTCCCTGTAGGAGGTCGAGGAATCCAATAGGAAGCAAACCTTGTTGGCCCAGGTCTATGTCCAGATCAGTTGCTGAGATGGGACTTCTCTACAGGTGAGCTGCTCCAGAGGACAGCTACAGGGACCAGACGCCCATGGAACCAGCTGTCTGCAAGATCCACCCAAGGAAGACCGCCAACATGACCTCCCTACCCCCTTGCAGCATGGCCATCTTCCCACCTCTTTGCAAAAGAAGAGAGGGGATTCCAGGAGCCTCAGTTGTCCCCATAGCATTCGAGAAACAGAAGGTGAGGAATTTCAGCTAGACCAGAAGGAGGGAGGCCCAAAGAACAGAAAATCCCCAAATAATTCAGCAGCGAGCAGCCAGCGACAGTGTGAGCTAAGGAGGCTCAAAAGGAGGTGACAGGAATAGAAAATGGAGGCACAGGAAGTCTGACAATGACAGAAGACCAGAGAACAACAGAAGGGACCCAGGAAAGGGAAGCAGACTGGGACCATGACCAAGGACTGGTGAACCCCAGCCTTCAAGGAAGGATAGACGACAGAGCATTCAGGAACAGGCAGGGGTGGGATCAGCCTAGTGTTCTAGGGCAGCTCTGTGTCCTGCAAGGCCTGGGAATAAAGGAAGACTCCTCCACAGAGAAGCCACCAGAGTGGACAGGACTGACCAGTGTGAGCAGGCAGAAGAATCGAGCAGAAGAGCCATTGCAGGAGGTGGCCAAGGTATCTGGCTGTTGCTTCCTCTCTAGCCTGGTGTGCTGCTAGGGGGAAAAAAGAGATAGCCGGAGGCCATTTCAGCCCACAGATCAGTATAAGGGCTTGTTTGTGAAGTGATCTTCTGTAACTCAGACTGGCCTCAGGTTTGCTTTATAGCCAGGTTGTCCTTGAATTACTGATCCTCTTGCCTCTGATGCCTCAAATGCTGTGGTTATAGGTGTGTGCCATCACACAGAGCCCTACAAATCAACTTTAGCTTGTTTCTCAGAGTCGCTGTCTGGGGATGCCCTTCGGAAGTCACACATTCTTCAGGTCACAGCTTGTCCCGTCCCATGATTGCTTTCTATGAGGCCTACTTTGCCCATCAGTACTTCCTGCCTAGCATGCCAACATTTGAGTTGGGAACCACATCCCAGCAGTCTTTTGAGTCACAAAGGTCAAGCTCCGTTACCAGGGCAGAGGTCTCCCAGTGTCTAAGCCCTTTTGCTGTACTCCCGACTAGTCACATTTTGGCATGCTTTTCCCAGGAGTCCCTCCCCCAAGACGGTTCTGAAGATATCTCTCAGCCTTCTTCCTAGCCAGAGTCTGCCAGGTCCAAGAACTTGGTGATTTCAGGAAAAGAAGTGGTAACCCCAGACTCACCCAGCTCCCAGAGGCAAGGCTAAAGCCTCATGGGGAAGTTCATCAGGTGGACCCAAACAGGGATTGTTGTCCTTTCATTGTCTTCCTTTCCCATCTTGTCCCCAGGACCCCAGGTATGAGCTCCAGCTGGCAAAGGAACAGGCCCAGCACCAGGAGCAGCTGCTGCAGGCCCAGGAAAGAGAGCTGCAGACACTCCAGGAGCAACTCAGCAGGTAACCTTGGCACCACCAGCAGGGCTGGAACTCCAGGACTCTGAGTTTCTCAGTGTACCAGACCCTGTGCTGGGCACAGCTCCAGGTTACTGAGGCCAGTGCCATTCTAGGCATTGATCCTGATCCTAGGAGGCTCACAGGTCCTCTCCTCCCCAGTCTCCCCAAGAACCCCAGGAGACAGACTGCTCCCTGTCCCTGCGCTCCTGCCATGCTTGACCTGACTCCTGCCGCCTCCTCTGGGTGCCCCTCTGCCTTTTTAACCAGCTCTGACTCCACCATGCCTCCACATCTACCTTCCTCACACAGGGTTTAAAGATAGGATTCCACTCTGTAGCCCAGGCTGTCCTGGAACATATGACAATCCTTCTGCCTCAGCCTCCTGGGTGCTGAGATTACAGGCATAAACCACTATGCCTGGCTTTGTCCCTCATTTTCAATTGTCCCTCCGTTTTTTTTTTCTCGTTGTTGTTGTTCCCTGCTATACAACCTTTTCAACTTTTTTGGCCTCCTGATAACCACAACAGTGGCTGACATTCACCCAGAACTTACATGACCCACCCAGTATCAGCTTGTTAAACGAGAGGACCTGCGAGCCAAGCCCTGCGGCTTACTCCACAGCAGTGGTCTTTCCTGCTGTTCTGTGTTGTTATTTGGTCATTTCACGCAGCTCAGACGGTCCTCCAATCGTCTGTCAGTGCTGAGACAGCACCTGTGCCCCCCATGACTGACTCCCTCAGCCAATTTTGTTTTGTTACACATACAGTTCAAGCTGCCCTGAGACTTGCCATGTAACTGAGAATAGCCTTGAGTTTCCAATCCTCCTGGCCTGGACCTCTGTGCCCAGTTTATTTGGTACTAAAAGTTAAGTCTTTGTGCCTGGTAGGCAAGCACTCTGCCAACTAGCTACAGCCCCAGGGCAGTTTTTTTGTTTTTTGTTTTGCTGTCCTCTGTACCAACAGGAGGTTGGTTCCAGGACCCCAAGGGAAACTGAAACCCATGTCTGCTCAAGTGCTTCACATAAAGATTGTGTAGGGTCTGCTCAGAACCCCAGACACCCTCCCCCTGGGCTCTGTGAACCTCCCTAACGTGGTCTGAATGCTGTGAAAATAGTTGTGCCACTATTCCTTATTTTGTATAAGGAATCATCGGAAGAAGAAAAATATCAGGACATATTCAAGATACACAGTTTAGGGGTTTTGTTTGCTTTTGTCTCCAAACATCTTTGGTGCATGGTTGGTTAAAGCCAGAGACATGGATACAGAGCCCTGACTATATTCCCCTATCTCTTTCTGCCGAGTAGCTCCGTTCTCTCTTCTTTCCCTTGATCTCAAGGTCCCAAAGGTATTATCTGTCACAACCCTGCCTGTTTTAAAAGTCTACTCCGTGCAAAGGTCTTCCTGAGTCTGCCTTTGGTCTTCATGGGTCTGCATGCTGCCTCTGTCTCTAAAGGACACTGTAACACCTTCTCCAAACAAGGTCAGGGAACAGTCCTGCCCTTGTCAGAGGCTGAGTGTCTATGACTCATACTGAATCATTGGGAAGTTTAATGTCTGTCTATTAAACAGCTAGGGCAGACCTGAGAGCCCAGACTCCAACCCAAAGCCCCTTGGACTCCACCCAATACTCACTGCCTGAGCTGCTGCTGTGACCAGCAAATACTCCCGTGATTCAGATCCTAAGTGAAAGTGGGGGGTCTTGGCCATACAAGAGTCTCTGTGGCTTCAAGAGAAACAAGTGGGAGCAACTAAGAGGTTCCAGAGAGATGTCCCAGCATCAAACTTCTTCCTGTATCTGAGGGCACAGTCCCATAGACCCCTGTCTCCCTGCGACCCATCACTTGGTCATTCCTAAACACTTTAGGCACCCATTCTAAACCCCAAATACTCTTGTGGGCAAAACGCAAAATTCCTGCCTTCATGTTGCTCGCAGTAAGGAATCTGCATGTGAAATACAGAGCAATGAGTAGGACAGGCTTATTACTATTACTATTATTTGTTTATTCTATGCATAGGTGTGGGGGATGAGTGCACGTGAGCGTGATTGTGGGTGTGCAAGTACCATGGTATACATGCGGGGGTCAGACAGCAACCAAGTCAGCTCTCTCCTTCACCGTCAATGGGTTCTGGGGTCTGAACGCAGGACATCAGTCCTGGCAGTGAGTGACTTTACCTGCAAAGCTATCTCCCCAACCCCTGGAGCTGTGTGGAGAAAAAACAGGAAAGGAAAATGGGAGGTGACCACTGTGAAGTATTTGAGGAGGTGGAGTGGCCACTGAAGGCTCTGGTGTTTGCTTGAAGGCACGAAGGAAGTAAGGAGCTAGACTTTTAGACACTGGCTAGTAAGATGTTCCAGGCAGGGGGTAGAATAGGAACAAAGATCCTGAGATGGGAAATTGTACAGCAGGCTCAAGGAGGATTATGGGAGCCATTCTTTCCCCAGTCAGGTGAGGGAGGAAAGGGCAGTCTGGGAAGTTATCAAAATAACCTTGGTTTTAAATCAAAGTAGAATGGAGCCATTATAGAGTTCAAACAGAGGAAGGGCATGGCGTAGTTTGATTGGACATCAATCAA